TTTTCTAAAGATGTTGGTTACTAGATAACATACCCAGTCCCTAATGGAACAAATTGCCTGTGCTGTGGTATGAGGCTGGCATTTCTATTTGTTCTTTGCGCCTTCCAGCTAGCTCCTGGTACCTGTGTCTTTAGCCGGCTCCTGATACCTCCCTTGTTTGCATATGAGTTAGAGGTCAGCCATGGACTTGTATAGGATCATACGCCCATGGGGATCTTGTCCTTCATGTGGCTTTCCTCTTCCCAGCATTCCCTCTTGGCTTCTGATGCTGTTCTGGCCTCTGGCTCTTCAAACCTAGAAGCCTTTGGCTTCCTGCCACCTGAGCCACATGCACTGAAGACACCATCAGTGATCTTGTACATCTTAAGGTGGGCCTGTCTATTTCTCAAGAGTAGGTTCCTCTCTCCTCTCTACCTGTTTTTCCCCTCAGGTCTTGTAGGAATCTGTCCTGCCTCGTGCATAGTTCTGGTGTGAGTCAGGCACTCAGGGAGGGTTTCTATTAAAACCTAGGTGGTGATTTCTTCCATTCTCTCTGCTTGGGGTGGTGTGGCCTGCGGAGTCCACAGCCCTCATCATAGATTTCTTCACCAGAGCTGCTGGCCAGAAGTCCCAGTGGGGGCGGTGCTTCAAGTGGGACACACCCAATGCTTGGATTTGTTTCTAGATGTTTTCCATCTCCTTTAAATGGTTTGAAAATATTTGTCCTATTTGTTCAACTTTTTATCTGTAGGAGAATCTACACATTCATATTTTAGGCTTCCTATACTATCTCACATGCACTGTCTACTCTGTTTATCTCCCAGTCTTTTTTCATTCATATTGGTCATTTGTATTGATCCCTTTCAAAGTCTAATCATTATTCCCTTTGAAAGCCTAAATCTACACCTATTCAGTAGTTAATTTTTGTTTTAGGTACTGTATTATTATTATTATTATCATTATTGTATTATTCAGTTCCTACTTGCTTCCTTATAGTCAATGTTTCACCGCATTTATTTTTTTCTTTGATTACAGTAAAGTCTACTTTAAAGTCACTGTCTTCTCATTCCAACCTGTGGGCTATCATGGATTCAGTTTCTACTGATTACCTTTTTACTTAAGCAGGATTAGATTTGCCTGTTTGATCATATGTTTAGCAATTTTGGAAGGTATCTTGCAATATCTACAGTCTGATTCTCTGACATTTTCATAACAGGAATAAAAAAGAGTACAAAATGTTTTCTTTCAGCAGATAGTTATTTTGGCTCAACTCAAACTGCATATTCTGAAGACCCTACTGCAGTTATTGTAGGCTTAAATAAATGGACTATGCAGCACCTGCCTGACGCATTTATATTCAGACAAGAGTCAGAGACCTAGGGAAAGCTATCATCTGTCTGTCATCTATCTATCATCTATCTATCTATCTATCTATCTATCTATCTATCTATCTATCTATCATCTATCTACTACCTATCTCTCTGTCATCTATCTACCTATCTATTATCTATCTATCTATCTATCTATCATCTACCTATCTATCACCTATCATGTATCTATCTTCATCTTTATCTATCTATCTTATTAGTTTGCAGTATTTTTCTGAATGAAAAATGACTGGGGCTAAGCAGAGTAGACAGCACTGTCCCTGCAATGTGAGATTCCTCTTTGCACTTTTATTTTTCATAGCTTTCTCTTCCCTTAATAGCTTTGGCTGTTCTCAGAACTATGTCTTCTCTTTCCTAACTGGCTGCACTGCAGAGATTTATTTAGATATTAGTCATTTTCACGGTGCCAGCCAAAGCCTACACTCAGGCTCAAAATTATTTTTAAAAATAAAAAATCATTTCTTTCAAATGTCATCCTCCTGCAGGGATCTGGTTGCACTTATTCACTGATTAGTAAAGGGTAAACTCAATAGGTTTGTCTATCTATCTGCCTCCTATCTCTTTCTCTATCTACCTATTATCTGTCTATCTACCTATCTATCATCTATCTATCTATCTATCTATCATCTATGTCTAATCATCACCTCTCTCTCTCTCTCTCTCTCTTTCTTTCTCTCTCTCTCTCTCTCTTTTTCTTTCTTTTTTTTTTCTGTTACTGGGAACTGAACTCATGACCTTGCACTTGCCAGGCAGGCACTGTGCCACTGAGCTAAATCCCCAGCCTCCTCACCTATCTATCTCACTATTTTGCAGTATTAAGTATTGGACCCAGGGACTTCACATGAAGCTAGCTCCTCAGCCTTTTAAAAATTATTTGCTCATGTATTTGTTTGGTTACTTTGAGCCAAGGTTCTTGCTGTGTTCCCAGGCTGTGGTGGGACAGGTGGTCCTCCTGCTTTAGCCTCCCAGAAAGTGAAATGACAGGCATGCACCACTATGCTTGTCTTACATTAGTGAATTCCGGTAAATTCAACAGTTATGTTTTATATTTTTCCTGTCAATGGTTATTATTTGTAGGACAGTTGGTTCAATAGGATTTATTGAGCAATACAAGAGGCAGAATCTCTCACTCTTAATTTCTTTACAGTCTATTGGCCTTGAAATCTTTTAAGAAAATTATTATGAAATTAGCCTTCTCAACGTTTTATTGCTTTTGATTTTGAGTAATAGTTAAAAGAATGCTTTCTCTATACCTGAATCCTGCTTTTCCAATGCTTATAGGGATGGTTTCAAGACATTTAGGCATATGTCTGCTATCATTTATTCCATGGCTTTGTCTATATGCAGGTTTAACACTGTTAATTATATAATTATGTAGACTACTGCTCCTTATCTTGCAGCTCTTATTTTATGACCTTCTCATGTAATATTCCATTTTGATAATCATTTAATTTTTATTGTCATGTTGGTTACAGAAGAAAGATTTTCCTATATTTAGATGGTCCTTTAAATTTTTAAGTGAACTCATGGAGTACTGATATCTTTCTAATGTTTATATTTTCTACCTAAGAGTAAAGACTGTGTAGAATTTGATCATAGTTAGCTTGGTATTCTACCAGAGTGTTTAAATATTTTTCTTACCATGCTTTTCTACATATATTTCTTTAAGTTCATTCATAAAAATATTATAAATTTTTATTGGATTAATAAATAGGATTTTTGTCATCCCATATAGAGTAGTCAATATTCTTATATTTAAAGAATATTGTTTTTACATTTTGGAGTTGATGATTAAATCTAGGACCTCATGTATAATAAGCAGGTATCAAGATTAATTTTATGTTGATTTTGTTCCTTGCTATTATATCAAATTTTTTATTGATTAATTTTAATTTTTTTCTCTAGAAGTTTCTTGCTAGTCTACCATGTTACCTGTAGACACTTTTATTTCTTTAAATGTTTTTCACATTTGTTTTATATATAATTATATTGATTCGTTACAGAACAACATTAATAACCAATTGAAATGGTAGTTTTCTTTGCTTTATTATTACAATATTCTCCATAAGTAAAGTGTTGGGGGTTCTGAGTATGTGCAAATATGTGCATATAAATATACATATAAATAATCAAACATAGATATCTATATATCTATATAACCAGTATAGGTAAGTCCATAAACTTCTGTATCTTTTTAGAAATCATATTGTTAATTTTGCTTAAATGCTTTTTAAAATGCATGTAGAGAAAATTATATGAATTTTCTTCTTGATGTCAAAATGATTAATTTTATTAATATATACTCCATATGTCTTTGCCTTCTTGGTATACATCTCACACAATCATTTCATATGGTTATTTTCTTTATTACATGGGTCTAGTATAATTTTTGGTGTATTACATAAGAGAAAGAATGATTTATGGTCCTGAGAATAAGCACTAAGTTTAATCCTATATTTATTATTGATTGCTGAAAGACACATTTTGTAAGAACATAGAACCGTTTTAAAGAATGCATACCTGAGAACCATGGTTATATCAGGGAAGAGGACTAAAAGTATACATGATAGAATGGGGATATAGATTAGCGTATGTATTTATACATATTAGCCATGTATCTATTTTGGGGTAGGTGTATTTTAGTATAATGATTTGGGAATAATTTATAAAATTAGTAAAATAAAATTTTTACATATTATCACTAAGTGCTATAATTCAGGATACATGTGCCATCAGTACTATTTAGATCTTACTTTCATGGCTTGATTTGCATTTAATTTAATCATATTTTATATATATGTCATCCATACTAGGCTCTGAGACCTCAGGAAAATTAATGACCCAGGTAAATTAATCTGAGGACTTATCATCTGTTTTGGCAATAGTGAAGAAAAATCTGCATATGACAGATAAAAAGAAAAGTTTTCAACCTGGTGTGGTGGCTCACACCTGTAATCCCAGCACTTGGGAGGCTGAGGCAGGAGGATCATTATGAGTTCAAGGCCAGCCTGCGCTACAAAATGAGCTCAAGTCCAGCCTGAACTGCACAGTGAGATTCTATATCAAGAACACCAAAAAGAAGAAGGAGAAGGAGAAAGAGAAGAAGGAGAAGGATAAGGAAAAGAAGGAGAAAGAGAAGGAGGAGAAGGAGAAGGAGAAGAAGAAGGAGAAGGAGAAGGAGAAGAAGGAGAAGGAGAAGGAGAAGGAGAAGGAGAAGGAGAAGGAGAAGGAGAAGAAGAAAGAAGAAGAAGAAGAAGAAGAAGAAGAAGAAGAAGAAGAAGAAGAAGAAGAAGAAGAAGAAGAAGAAGAAGAAAAGTTCTCATATGACAGATCAGGCTTTACCTTGTGGATTGTTGTCTGGAGATGCAAAATAGATGGAATAAGGAATCACATCATGAAGTTATATAAACATATAATAAATATGCCAGGCTGGAGAGTCTGAGTGGTTATTTTGAGCTGATTTGTGTGTAGTCCTCTTCCCATATAGGTAATTGACATCTCAGAAAGGGGAGTTTATGTGCAACTGCAATTTCCCATAATAAAAGAGAATATAGAAAAAAACTACACTTAGTTTTAACTCCATGGCTTTCTGAATAATTGTATTGAACAATTTCTTCTTGTGAGCCCATCAGAATGACTGCTGGTGATTTCATCTTGAAGCTACTTTTCCCAATCCAGACTGGGATTGGGGTGGTGGGGAATACCCTTCTTCTCTCAGCCTATGCTCCCACATCCTGTACTGCCCATGCACCGAGGCCCACACACCTGATTCTCACCCACATGGCTGTGGCCAACTTCTTGGTTCTTCTCTTCAAGGGGATTCCCCATATGATGTTAATCTGGGGAATAACACCCATCCTGGGAAACACGGGTTGCAAACTTGTGTATTATATCCACAGAGTGGCCCGGGGCCTTTCTCTCTGCACCACTTGCCTCCTGAGCAACTTTCAGGCCATCACCATCAGTCCCAGGCCTGGAGGGATGATAGGCCTTAAAGACCGAGCTTGGAAGAATATCAGTTTCTCCTGTATTCTTTGTTGGATCTTCAACTTGCTGATGAATACTTTTATACCTATAAATATAGAGGGCCTTCAACATAGTCACAATTCTACCATGGTACGGGATTATGGTCTATGTTCTTCCAGAAATTCTGAAACATCTACTCCAAAATATGCATTTCTAATGACACTGGCAGATGTTTTGTTCCTGGGACTCATGGCTTGGGCCAGTGCGTACATGGTGCTTCTCCTATATAGACATCAGCAGACAGTGAAGCATATTCACACCACCCACAACTCCCACAGGTTCTCCCCTGAGGCGAAAGCCACTCAAACCATCCTGCTTCTAGCGAGCACCTTCATTTTGTTTTATTTAATCAATTCTTTCCTTGCCATTTATAATACTGTCTCTTTTAAACCTCACCTCTGGCTGCAGCATACAACAATGTTTCTGGCAGCCTGTTATCCCACCATCAGCCCCTTGATACTGACGCTTCAACATCCTCAAGCACCAAATTGCTGCTCTTAAATGCCGAACACATAGTAAAACTCTGCCAGTGGTCCTGTTCATCATAGTTACTCATTCAAGGATGTGAGACGTCTAGAATATACCTGTGGTAAGAAGATTACTGTGGTATTGATCAAACTGGTAGAGGATTTGAGCTCCACTCACAAGGCAGATGTGCAATCAAATCAAATACAGCACACTGTATTTTACCATCATGCTGGTGCTTGCTTGTTATATTTTTCTTTTGAAATGTTTTGGAAGCATATAAGGAAGTATGGGTAGAAATAATTTGGAGACATGTTAGGGCTTTAAGTGGTTTAGTAGTGCAATAATTAAATCGGATGCGGTATTGTATCCTGATAAACAGTAATGAAGTTTTGCACCAACTACAACTATAATCTGTGGAAAGTCATGTAATGATTATATGATTTGGAGTATTTACTTGGAAAATTAAGGACTTATCTTCTATTAGATTATTGTGCAAAAACAAACGAGGTGAGGGGCTGGGGATTTAGCTCAGCGGCAAAGTGCCTGCCTGGCAAGCGCAAGGTCATGAGTTCGGTTCCCGGTACCAGAGAAAAACGAAACAAAAAACAAACAAACAAAAAAACCCAAATGAGGTGAGAAGTAAAACTTCCAGCATAGCAGAGTGAGAAACTTTGTTAATCTATTCTTCCACAAAGCAATATGTATACTATCAAAATTATCAAATTCAACTTTCATTAATACTCTAGAATTTAAATAAATGCTTACAAATATTTAAATATCCATAAGGACAGTGGAGTTTATGTATTTGCTAAAAGGTGTCCGGCCGGCAGCGCAGAGAGTAATAAAACAATAAAACACGTTTATTGCTTTAGGGCACGGAGAAGATTGACAGAGAAAGAGAATCTTCTGGGGGCCGGGTCATGTGGACAATGGTTAAATAGGGTCAGGCTAGAGGCGGGGTTTAGGGGGTGGGCTAGCTGACGCGGCAGGCTAGCACTGGGCAGGAATGTGGGAAAATGAAACAGGATATTACATAAAGGGGAGTAGGAAGTCGTAACTTGACTCCAGGAAGAAGCGTGGGGCTTAGCACATGGCCTCTAAGGGCCAGTGCCATATTGACCATGGCACATAGTCTCCAATAGGCGGCGCCACAGCGACTACAAAGGAATTATGAAGACCTTTCATTTGCAACTTGGTCTACTCCAAGCCTCCTCTCCCCAACTCTCTACTAACTTTGAAAACCAGTAGCCTTACAACCACAGTAGCCATGCAAATGGTCAGGCTTTCCACCAAGAATGCCAACAAAGAAGCATGGGAATCCTCAGATACCTATCCTGGGAGCAGTGTCAATATGTGGTCTTCACGTAGCTCAGTGGTGAAGTCCATTCTTTGTCCTAATGTTTACTTTGACCTAACTCACAGCTGACTCTGAAGTAAAAGTCTTATACCAGGGCACTAGTTGTGAACACCTTGTTTAACTGCTGCACTACTCTAAGATTAAAGTACTGTTTGGGGCAAATGGGAGTTTTGATGAAAGAGCATCAACTCATCACTTTCTCCCTGGACTTTAATATTCAGAAACTTAGCAGCTGGGTGCAGAATTGGGTTCTTACCAGATTAACACTAAGCACATTTCTGCCAGTGGTATGAAATTTGGTGGACAGACATCCATTTTCTTCTCTACCTTCTGGTCACATAACTAATAAGTAATCCAAGAATCATGTTTGTATTACCTAATATCAGTCACTTGTAGCTTCTCCCAAGTACTCTAGTATAAAAAATTTCAGATGGAAATAAACCCTTCCAGAATAGTATAGTAGACGTGCTTCTCTACATCATTTATACTGAATAAATGTTGAAATTTTGCCAAATTTGCCTTATATTTTCTACCTATCATCTATTTACCCATCACGTCTTCTCTTTTATCCATTTGTTTCTTTTGACTTAATTATTTGAAACTAGATTGCTGATCTCACCACCTTTCACCTCCTAAATGGTTCAACTTGAATTCAGTAATAATAAAGAAATCATCCTACAAACCACAGCATGATCATGATGTCAATCATTTGGGTGTGTGGTAGTTGAGAAAGGAGAAACCCGGCTTTAAAGAAGACACCAAGCAAGAAATTCACAATGAAATGTCTGAAGCTGGGATGCCCGCTAAGCTGTGGATACCACAGGCTGCAAAAACAGGACATTCATTATATGTAAGAATCACATGACCCAGTTCAGAGCCGAGTCCTATTCCCACCAATTTCCAATTGGTAACACACTACTATGGTTGGACAGTCACAATCCTCTGGTGAAACTGAAGACTGAAATATCTCTGTCAAAAGATTAAAAGAAAAATAAGACAATTCTCAACCACCTTTATTTTCTTTGAAGTTTATTTTGAGACAGAATCTTGCCATGTTACCCAGATTGTCCTCAGTCTTGTGATCCCCACGCCTTATCTGTGCTGGGGACTGATCAGACCCCTGGATATTTTAGGGGGGGGCACACTGGGGAGTAAAGAAAGACAAAAGACAATATTTAAAGTACAAGGTGACTGGGAGGAATCTGCCTCTAGTGGACAGGCACAACAATCTCCATGGCTGACCTACTTTTATTAGCAAGCAAAGAGCACGGGGGAAAGATATGCACTTTTCATGGAACAGCAACTGAGGTGAATAAGACAACGTAATGGGGTGCGAGTCCCTTTCCATATCATTATGCTTGCATTCTTCAGGCTGTCTTCAGCAGATATTACCTTGTCTTAGGAATGGAACGACTATGAGCTTTCTCCACACAGCCAGGGAACAAGCAGGCTTCTGCATACTTCTCTGTTCCTAAAGCAGGTCACACTGGCCCCGAGACTGTGGGGCCCCAGCCACGTAGCCTGGTACTCAGCATAGTAAAATATTATTTCATATACTCTGGTGCCCGACAATTCTCATAAGTAGCTGGGATTAGAAATACACACAACTTTGCCTGGCTAACTTTATTATTTTGATAAGTAGCTTTATAATTTTTTTTTTATTTTAAAGAGAAAAGAACAGAAACAAAATAGCAAAAAGAAAGACAAAAATAAAAAAACACAAAAACTATGAAAACGATACAGAATTTCAAAACAAGATGATAGGAAATCAACAATGGTTGTTGTATTATTGTTATCTTCAAAGTAGTTGCTCAGATTACCAGATACAAGTATGCAAGATTTGAGCAAACAATTAAAAATTAACTGTTCCTTTCAATAAACCATTAGAAATTAGTAGTATAATTATCTTAGCTATGGTGTGTATATACATGAATATATATGTGTATATAGATAGATAGATAGATAGATAGATAGATATCATTTCCCTTCTTTCTTTTTCTGCTCTCCCTCATCCCAGTTGTTGTTTCCTATTAAGCAATTTCTTTACCTTTCACAATATCTGTTGTACCTTTCAGTTTTATTGACTCAGGTTCTTACACTAGGGAGACAATATGGTGTTTACACATGTGGGTCTGATTTATTTCACTTATGAGTATAATCTCAAGTTGCATCCATTTACCTATAAAAGCCTTGAGTTTATCTTTCTTTATAGCTGAGTAATACTCCATTGTATAAAAATGCTACATTTTTCTTATCCACTCCTCGGTTGACAGGTATTTTGGTTGTTTCCAAAATTTTGCTACGACAAATTTTCTGCTGTAAACATTGGTGCACATGCATTGCTGTGGTATGATGTTTTTAATTCTTCTGGGAATATAAACAGAAGAGGAATAGCTGAGTTAAATGGGACCTCTATTCCTAATTTTTTGAGGAATCTCCAGACAGATTTCCAAAGTGCTTGCACCAGTCTACATTGTCACCAACAGTGGAGAAGAGTTTCTTTTTCCCCAAAGCCCCTCCAGCATTTCCTGTTGGTTGATTTATTGATGATAGCCATTCTTACTGGGGTGAGATGAAATCTCAGTGATGTTTTAATTTGCATCTCTCAAATGACCAATGATATTGAATATTTTTTCATGTATTTATTTTCCATTTGTATTTCTTCATCTGAGAAGAGTATATTTATCTCAGATGCTCATTTTTGGATTAGGTCTTTGAATTTGGGGGGTCTGAGTTGCTATATTCGGATTTTTTTGGCAACCTCCACACTCTTCTGCATAATGATTGTACTACTTTACAATCCCATCAACAGAGTATGAGGGTTCCCTTTCATTACACATCTTTGCCAGCATTAGTTTTGTTTTCTGACTACAGCCATATAAAAGTGACTTAAACTTTCATTAGCTAAGCTAAGTTTGTTTTTTTGCTTAAAGTGGTGACTGCTTGTTCTCACATTTTATAAGGATCCTATCTCATATAGTTTTAGTTCATGTTTCTCTTTTAGCACTGATTAATGATTCATGCCTCTATGAATTATTTCAGTAGGTGTTACATGGTAATATGATTCTAATTTTATCCTTCCTAAATTAGAAGTATTATTTTATTAAGAAGAACATATCTTTGAATTTAGTGAAAAATCTACTTCCTAATAGAGTAGGGTAGTTTTTGTCATTCCTCAGACTAAAGTGTGAATTATCTTCCCTTCCACCAGTAACAGCTAAGATAGTATAAAGTACTTCCAATGGAAAGAAACTGAGAATTACATATTAAAAAATGACACAGGATTAAAACCAAGAAACTACCCTGACACAAGGACAGGTCAGAAGACTATATGATGGTGCTGAGAAGCAAGCATGTGCAGCAGCTTCAGACATGAAAGTAGTAGTGATTAGAAGTATCCCAATAGTTCCAAAGGATCGGTTGAACTTGCTGTGGACGTAATCTTTTTCCTGGAAAGACTATCTCGCTTTCCGTAGGACATATTTTCAAAATGGCTGCTCCTGGAACACTGTAGTGCATTAGCTCATGGTTTGTCATTCCTGTCTTTTGTTAAGCACTATCATGCTGTATCAGCCAGGGTCCACCAGCAGAACAGGTCTCACATACACATGGCTTTTGTGATGGTGGAGACTGGCTAGGGGAAAATCAAGATAGGTGGCAGCCAGAAAATATGAGT